CCCCCGCTGCGCGCGTCCCGCCCCGCCCCGCCCCCGAGTCCCATCGTCCCCAGGGTAACCCACTCTCCCCCCCCCACGGGTCCACCTGCGCGCCCTAGGGTGCTGGCCGACCCCTCCGGCCCGAGGGGCTCGCCCCGTGTTCCGGTCCCCACGGTGCAGCCGGCCCCTCGCCCGTGCGCTCCGATGTCAAGCCCTTGGCTTCCCCAGGGAGTCCCTTCCCCCTGGACCCTGCCTCGGTCTGCTCACTGCCTGGCGCCCACCCGCGGCCGGGCCCACCCGCTTCCCTCCCACTCAGGCCAGGCCGCCCTTCCCTGCTCTAGGAGTTTGACCCCCAGCAGGACCGCGACTTCTACCGGACGCTGTCCCTGCTGAAGCAGAAAGACCCTCGGATTTACCAGAAAGATGCCACCTTCTATCAGAGAGCAGGTCCGGGCCTGGGCTCCCTGCTGCCCTGGGGTCAGGGCGCTTCGCAGAGTGGGCTGGGTTAGGCGGCGGCTGCGGGGGTGGGAGTATAGAATGGGAAGGGGCGCGCATGCATACCGAGGGGTCTTCCAGAAGGTCGCTGGGAATGCACGTGAGTGCAGTTCGCTGGAACTTATTTTTTAGTTCTATGTCCTTAACATTACTTTGCCTGTGGTTTTTGAAACCTTACTTAAATTTATTTGGGAGGCAGAGAGAGAGAGAGGAGCTCACCTCTGCTGGTTTACTGGATGGAAACTGCCCCCAGTGCCTGCAGAAGCCCCCCAGGCAGGGCCCCTACGGCCAGGGGCCAGGGACTCGGGCCAGGGACTCGGGCACGGGCCTTGGCAGGGAGCTGGGAGGGAGCCCAGGCGTCTGGAGCGGTGTCGACACCACTGTGCCATTGCCCTCTTTAATCCCGTTTCCCCCCAGCATCTTGAAGAACCCTGACATCCCCCAGTGGTGCTAATGAAATTAGGAGAGTGACGTTCGAGTTAGGAGGCAAAGATGTCCCAGTAAGCCCGACATACGTTGAAAATGTTCTCACTGAAGAATATATATGCCGCTGGCCTTGAGCGCCGGTTCGAGTCCCGGCTGCTCCACTTCCGATCCAGCTCTCTGCTGTGGCCTGGGAAAGCAGTGGAAGATGGCCCCAGTGCTCAGGCCCCTGCACCTGCATGGGAGACCCGGATGGAGCTCCTGGCTCCTGCCTTCTGCCTGGTCCATTGGGGCCGTTTGGGACGTGAACCAGCGAATCGGAGCTCTCTCTCTCTAACTCTGCCTTTCAAATAAATAAGTCTTTTTTAAATAAAGAATGCACTTAATATGCTATGAATCCACAGATAAAGTTGGGAAGTCGTAAGTCGGGCCATCATAAATCAGCCGCCATCCGTGTGTGCCTGGCTCTGTTCAGGGTCCGTTATAGAACAAAAGAGCCCACCCTGCCCAGGTAGCAGGAGGGCCAGCCACTGGCCAGCCTTCCTGACCCTGGCCCCACCCTGCGGGGTTCCGGGCAGGGGCTGACGTCAGGGCTCTCCCCGCGGGCCCACAGCTTCGTCCTCGGAGGAAGAAGAGCCGGCGGCCCCAGAGGAGCAGAAGAGGCCACAGCCCATGTACCTGAAAGACTACGAGAGGGCGGTCATCTTGGAGAAAGGAGGGTAAGCAGGCCCGCTGCCCGCCCCTCGGCCCCGGCCTGCCCAGGACTGGGGGTGGGGGGCTTCAGGGCAGAAGCTGATAAAGCAGAGAATAGAGCAGGAGCCTCGGCCCCCCCCATGCACCTGTGAGACCCCCCAGCTGCTACTGTGACCGCCCCCACCCTCTGGGGACAGGGGTCCATGGCCGCTGTTCTGAAGCCCCCCACCCCACCCCCCCGCAGCAAATATGTGGATGAGGAGGACTCGCTACGTTGAGACGGCGGCTCCCCAGGGATCCAGGGGCTGTGCGGAGGATAGCTGGCTAGGTGGCTGCTGCTGAGGCGAGCTTTTCGTTTCCCAGCTGCGGGAAAAAATCTCGTCGAAAATGGAAAGATGTCTAAAAGAATACATGACACATTGAAAGAACTCCACCGAGAGGGATGATGCGTGTGCTGACACTCTCATATGAGGGAAGGTCGATGCTCTCTGC